AAAGAAGCCAGCTTTTCTACCTTACTTTATGCAAAATTTAAGCCTATGACGAAAAGTTTCCTATGACCTACAGTTTATTTCATCTGGTTAAAAAGATCATAGAATCAGTTATCTACACACACAGAGGTTTCTTATTCCTATTTTATCAAATCTATAGTGCTCTACAGCTATTAAAGCTGATGCTGGGGGACCAGCAGTTAGCGTAATGGCTATGTCGCTGGGCTCCCATGTAGTTAACTGCAGTTTGAGTCCTGGACCCAGTGGCTTAAACTCACGCCGGGCATGTGTGCGTGCGTGCCCAAGATCCCAAGAGGAGAATGGAGGAGAAGGGATTGTGGTGCGGCCAACCCCCTGGGGGGTGATTTCTCGCTTTCTGTCTCTGTCTCTCTCTGGCTTTCTGGCGAGCACACACACCCTATAGCAAAAACCTCTCCGAAAAAAGAAAAAAAAAGTTGATGTTGGAATTTGTAATATGTGTTTATTCTACAAGTCCATGATAGCTAATGTCGATGAATACTTTCTGGAAATCATGATCTGAATAGATTATCCCCCTGCCACTAATAATAGTATAAAAGATTTTATCTTCAAAGCATGTTTGAAAAGATTTACATATGTTCGGAGAACATAAACAAAAATTATCTTGTGAAGCTATGTAAAAAGCTAACTTACCTAAGCTATGTCTAAATTTTGCTTAATGTAAAAATACTGGGGCTGGCAGGTGACGTGGTGGTTATGGCATTGGACTCCCACATGGTCAAGCACAGTTCAAGTCTCAGATCTGGTGGCTTCCTTTCTCACTTTCCCTTTTTCTCTCTCTCTGTCTCTCTCTGGTCAAATTTAAAAATGAGAATAACAAAATTAAATAATTCTTTTTTAAAAAAATAAAAATACTTTCTCATGTTTCTGAGTTCCTTCTGATGCCATTAGCATGACCCCGGCTACATACAAAAGTGGTGCTCCAATTTATGACAGCTTAAAATCTCTACCACTGGCACAAGTCAACAACTTCACCTCTATGAAAACGCCTACTTTTAAATGGCTATTAGCAGTGAACACATTTTACATTACAAAATTGGCTTTTAGAAAACAAAGTGAAGTTCAGCAAAATGTCATCTCATTTATTTATTTATTTAGTACTTTCATTTACCTTTATTAATTAATTTATTTTTAATTTGACCAGAGAGGGATAGAATGTGAGAAAGAAAGAGAGAAGGAAAGTGAGAAAGCAAGCCACCAAGTCTAAGACTTGAACCACAGTCAGCCATATGGGAGTTCAGTACTCTAAACTGGTTCACCATGCCACCTGCTGGACCTCCCTCCCATTTTTTTTTTTTAAAGAGATTTTTGGATAGGGCATATGTACTCAGAGAGACAAGAGAGACAGAGACAGAAAGTGAGAAATCACCCCCCACAGGGGGAAGACCATGCCACAATCCCTTCTCCTCCATTCTCCTCTTGGGATCTTGAGCACGCACACACACACAAACCCGGCATGAGTTTTAAGCCTCCAGGTCTGGGACTCGAACTATAGTCGACTGCATGGGACAGCAACGTAACCATTACGCCATCTGTTAGTCCCAGTGTCATCTCATTTCTAAAACTTGAATTTCTCCTAATCATGTTCTAGGCATTTCCTATCACATCTGTGATACTGAAGTCAGAACCTGCATGAGCAGCAGCAATGAAACTATGTAGTAAAGTCCAGGTAGGTTCTGTACATAGAACAATGCAGTACTTAGCTTGTTGAGAAACATAGATGACAAGAAATGAAGTGGTGATTCTTTACCAAAACTAGAGATGATAAAAGTTGGTACTAGACTCAACAGAATTTTTTTTGGAGAGGTTTTTGCTATAGGGCACATGCGCTCGCCAGAAAGACAGAGAGATACAGAGAGACAGAAAGCAAGAAATCACCCCCCAGGGGGGATGGCCATGCCACAATCCCTTCTCCTCCATTCTCCTCTCGGGATCTTGGGCATGCATGCGCAGACACACAGCAGGAGTTTAAGCCACCAGGTCTGGGACTCAAACTGTGGTAGATTACATGGGAGTCTAGCGACATAGCCATTATGCCAACTGCTGGTCCCTTGACAGAATTTTTAAAAGAAGAACTTTCTAAAAAATCCCACATGGCCGACTGTGTGGCTTGAGGCCCCAACCCAGTGGCTTGACCATCACATCAGGTGCATGTACATGCATGCCCAAAATCCTGAGAAGAGAACGGAGGAGGGGGGGACTTTCTCAATTTCCCACTCTCTTGAGCAAGCACACATGCCCCATGGGAAAATTGAAAAAATGAGTTCTTTGAAATAAAAATTTGAAATCCTTCTAATTTGTGACAGGTATATGCTTGTTTACACAGAAGTAGTCAATCAATCCACTGTCTGTTTAAAAATATATACCCAGTAAAAGGTAGTTAAGATGTGGGTTGTAAACCAGCTTGAAAATATATAAGTAGAATAATGCAGTTATGATAGAATTTGAATTTTGATAATAGTTACCCTGAAGTCTATTTGCAATTACTTACTGAAAATAAGATTGTTTCCACAATTAGGAATTTAAATGATCTTGTTTGGATAAACTAATTGTCTCTTCAGTTCTACTACCACTGTAACAGTACCAAGCTACTATCATACAGACTACGATATCACTAGTCTCCAATTAGTCAGGGCACCCTATCATAACTAAAGAGATCTACATACTACTATAAAACTAGAGCTAAGACAGAACACAGAAGTAGGAAAACTTGGATATAGTCAGTTTTTAAACTTGTGCCATTCTATACAGTTGTTGAAAGGATTAAATGAAGCAACACTGAGATAAAACTGTGATAATGATGTTCTCTCAATCTTGCCAGTAAGGGCAATCTAGAGAGCAGATTTAATGATGATGAAGACACCAACATCTGCCAAAGGTTCCTATGTCTGGGCACTCTTCCTCACACAAGTTTTATTATTATTATTATAAGTTTCTGTAATGGGGTGCATGCACTTGCCAAGAGAGAGAGAGGGAAAGTGGGAAATCATTTCCTCCCCCAAGGAGGATGGCCATACCATAATCCCTTCTCCTCTATTCTTCACTTGGGATTTTGGGCACACATGCATATACACCCAGTGTGATTTTCAAGCCATCAGGTCCAGGACTCCAACTGCAGAGCTGGCCATTTGAGATCCAATTAACTTAACTTCCACACCACCTGCTCCCCGCCCCCACATACATCTTTTACATACTCAATTCTATACTCCCAATTGTGTCATCTCCATTTTAAAAATTAAAAAATGAGGCTTAGAGAGATTCAGTCTATGACAATTTTCTAGATACTCACTGCTGAATTTACAGAACTGAAATCTACAGTTTGTGCCTTTAGGTCAGTCTTCTGGGAGGAAGGCAGTATTTAGCCCTAGGGATATAAACATGTTTTATAGTACACAGTACAGGGAAAGGGTGATAGAAAGGGAAAAATGGTGAAAAGAATCGGTAAGAATTAGAACAGTTTGCCTCACCAAATTATATCTTTTTTCTTTTGGAGAAGTTTTCGCTATAGGGCGCATGCGCTCACCAGACAGACAGAGAGAGACAGAGAGACAGAAAGCGAGAAATCACCCCCCAGGGGTGATTCCCTATATCTTTAGTATCTAGAGATACAAGTTTCAATTATACAGCACTGCTAGCCTCAGTAACTCAAAGATAGCCAGATGTTTGCAGAGTGATCTCTAACTTCATAGACTATAACAATGTGTTTCTGGATTAGTTCCCTATGTTAAAATAAAGTCCTAAAATGAAAGCTCAAATAGTTTGCTTAATGATTCAAATATGAAGTAAAAATTATCCTTTTTTGTTTTTGCTATCATGTGCATTCACTTGCCAGAGAGACAGTGAGAGAGAAAGTGAGAAATGACTGTCCAGGGGGGATGACCGTGCTGCATTCCCTTCTCCTCTTATTTCCTCCTGGGATTTTGAGTATGCACGTACATGTACCTTGCATGATTTTCAAGCATCCAGGTCTGGTACTTGAGCTGGAGTTGGCCATGTAAGAGTCCAGCACTTGTAACTACTATGCCACCTTCTGGCCCCAAAGATAAATTGTTCTTTAACATTAAGCCCAATACAACCCTACTGTTAAATAATAGTAACAACCCAGTTGGAGATTTCAAACTATATGTACACCATATAAAAAAAGAAAATTAGAGGACCAACAGTTAGTGTAATGGCTATGTCGCTGAACTCCCATGTAGTTGACCGCGGTTCGAGTCCTGGACCCAGTGGCTTAAACTCACGCCAGCACATGTGCATGTATGCGTGCCCAAGAGCCTGAGAGGAGAGAAGAGAATGGAGAAGAAGGGATTGCGGTGTGGTCATCCCCCCCAGGGGGTGATTTCTTGCTTTCTGTCTGTCTCCTTCTGATGAGCGTATACACCCTATAGCAAAAACCTCTCCCCCACCGAAAAAAAAAAGAAAAAGAGACAGAGAGAGACAGAGAGACAGAAAGCGAGAAATTATCTCCCAGGGGGGGATGGTCACACCACAATCCCTTCTCCTCCATTCTCCTCTCGGGATCTTGGGCATGCACGCACACACACCCGGCGTGAGTTTTAAGCCACTGGGTCCAGGACGCGAACTGCGGTCGACTATGTGGGAGTCCAGCGACATAGCCATTACACTAACTGCTGGTTCCCGAAAATGTAAATTCCTAATTCTGAGCATACAGTGAGGAGGAATTGTTCTGAAAGTTAAGGCTCAATGTAATAGTGTGACTGGAACCCTAGGTAAGAGAAATCACACTCGGTCTCAACACTGCAAAGCTGCCACATACACTATGGATAGTCCTGAAATTTCTCCCTGGCAGGCTTTTTTCCTGTTTTTCTACTGTGAACAATCACGTGCTTATTAGCACTCTTTGGAACTGGGTAGAGCCTGTAACAGAGGAGACCTCCAAGCCCTAACTCCCAAGAGACAAAGGCTTCTATCACTGATGAAAATGTGATTTATAATAAACTCACCTCAAAGAATATTTGGAATGTTTGACATAGAAAGGCTCTCTGGGACTTAAAAACTTCAGCTGAAATTTAATAAGAAACACTTTATGAAGTTATGCAAATTAGATACTTTAGCTTATATAAAACATATGATGTATTTCTTTAATTAAAGACACATTTTGTTAACTCAGATATAGCCACAAAATTAGGTAAAACAACAAATGCTCAGAAAACATATTTTAGGGCATTTTAACATAAATTCACTCTAGTTTTAAGTAAAGTACATGTTACCTAGAAATATGTGTGATAGAAAAATGGGAAGAAAACAAAGAAAAAATTAAAATATGCAAACAAAATTTTTGATTTTCAAATAAAAGGTAATGAACTTCCAATGAGTTTTTTTCAAATACAGGAGTAATGTAATAAAAAAATTAACTCATGATTACAATATAATATTATCTATAGGACAAGTTACTAGTCATCAGTAAAATGTCAGTTATCAAACAGTTGAATGCATTTACTTTTCCAAAACCCACAGTAATATCTGACTTACCGAGTGTGTAATAAAAGAATTATTTCGCAAATTGACTTTTAACGTCCTGGATTCCCCAACTCTAGTTGGCAGAAACCTATATACGTCTACTGGAGCATAGATTCCACGTTGGGTCAAATCAAGCTGCCTGCTTTGGGGGCAGATATAACAATTAACTATACAAAAATCCATTTAAATTCTTTTTATAGTACTTATGTAGTGTTGTTTTGTGTTTTCTCTCACAACTTATTTTAAACAACTTTGTTCTGTAATGGCAATTTACCTAATTTATATGCAGATAAAAT